ATCCTCAAAGATCCCACCCACCCCCAGCATGGACTGTTCACCTTCCTACCCTGTGGCCAGAAGTTCAGAAGTGTGAAATGTAGGACCACTAGACTGAAAAACTCTTTCTTTCCCTCTGCCATCAGACTCCTAAACAGCTGAGGAGTTTATTACCAGGAAATACGTGATGTACTGTTTACATTCTCAGTTTGCACATTGACTGTTGACTGCTGCACATGCTGCTCCCATGCAGCATACCATTCTGTTATTATATTCTTATATATTTTTATTATATTGCTGCATTTGCTGCTTAAAGTGTCCTAGATTTAGTGTTATGTATTTATCTTCTTTATATTTCATTTGTACTTTGTGGCATTCATGTGGACGGCAAAGTAACAAGTTTCATTGTACAGGGAAACACGTTTCCTAACTGTGCATATGACAAACATTTTGACCTTGACCTTTGACCTTGACCTTGTCATGGGCTCTTTAAACACACCTAGCCACACAGCTGCACTGGGTGACAGGTTTCTATTTCAGGAAAAAGGTGAGGTCCTTCTGTTTTCAGCAAACAGCTCCTCAGACTGAGAACAGCCATCACTTTGTACATTGTGTGAAGGATGAGTGACTGATCTCTGCTCTGTTTTATAGTGCTCTGCTAGCTTCTCATGCTGCACATGACAAACCACTGTGGTTTTATGAGGGGGACCACTGGTCTAATTTTTAACAACAGTATTGCATAGGTCATTATATGTTATGTAAAATCTTGTAAGATCTGTGAATTAAATGCAGCTGTCAGAAATGGTATAGAGTAAGGTAGAAAGAAGGACATGTAAATACTCAACCATCTGAAGTCTGTTAGTTCTAGGTTACTTTCAACTCGCAAAAATGAGATATTCAAAAAATACTTGAGGAATGTCCATATTGGCGCTCTCTCTGTTTCAAAGAATTTTACAGTTATTGTTCACAGAAACAGTGGACAGTCCCAGTAGTCTGAGGAAAACACACGTATATACGAATGAATGAGTGAAAATGATCTTACATTTAACTATTATCAATACTCCAACACAGAAACTAAATACTGCTACAACCAGAACTGTGCCATGTTGGAGCGCAGAGCCAGGATCCTCTGCAGAAAGACCAGTGGGTCAGGGTATTTCTGCAGCTGCAAAAACTCAGACCCCCACCCATACCTCCAGCCCACAATGTATGTCACTTCCTGTGACATCACTTCTTGTAAGTAGCAGGTAGACTCTTTTACTGTAACTGCAGCCCTTAGCCACAATACACCCTGATGCTCCTGTGTGTTTTGTGTGTTTGTGTGCGAGGCTTTGACTTCTAAGAACCCAGGCTGTGCTTCCCCCACAGCAGCTGGAGATGCAGCATTGTGTGTTTGTGTGTGGTCATTAAATGCAGTTCACAGCCGTTATACACAACA